AGTGCTTAGAGCAGTCTGACACATCAAAAATGATCTGAAAGTCATCGTTAAATAGAGCTTACCTCCAAACGGAGGCATACACACTGATGAACTCAGGGGGTAGGGGTGGGAGAAGGAATCTGTTCGCTAATATGATTTTAAAATAATATTCCATTCTTGAATCTTACCGTCTGTTGTGTACTTTTTATATATCTTGTAATTGTCTTACGGAGAGCATCATTATAACCAGTATAGATTATATATATTAAAAGGGCTATTAGACATAAACCTTGTCATACTGAGTTTCTCCCCCACCTTCCAAGTGGGAGGTTGCTCAGGACTCTGAAAGATGTGTGATGATCTATCCCAAGTCACATGCCTCAGACAGGATGTAGAAGGTAGCAGAAGCCAAGGGTTTCACAGAGACATACTTAGATAGATAGCCAACACCACATGCAGATAAAGCCATCTAGCTACCGGCAGAGAACTAGGGCCTGTGATGACTTTAACCTACTTGGTCTCTCAATTTGCCTGAAGCTGGATTAAAGTAATTCAACAGCAAGAAGAATTCAAGTTAGAGAAGCAAGGGACAGTCATAAAATTCTTATGGAGTGGGCCTGGAGAGACAGTTTAGGGATAAGTGCATTAGCTGCTCTTCCAGAGGACAAGGTTCGATTCCCAACACTCCTACAGTGACTGACAACCATTTGTAACTCCAGTTCCAGGGTATACAACACCTTCTTTTTTTGTTTGTTTGTTGTTGTTGGGTTTTTCTTTCTTTCTTTCTTTCTTTTTTTTTTTTGGAAGTTGTCCTGGAACTAGAGCTTGTACACCAGGCTGGCCTTGAACTCACAGAGATCCTCCTGCCTCTTCTTTCCAAGTGCTGGGATTAAAGGCTTGCATGACCAAAGCCTGGCTGGTAGGTGTTTTCTTTTGAGACAGGATCTTATGTGTATATCAGGTAGCTTCAAACTTCCTGTATAACCTAAAATGACCTTGAACTTCTCTTGCCTTACTTCCTGACAGCTGGGATTACAGGTGTGTGTGTGTGTGTGTGTGTGTGTGTGTACATTGACAGCAGTTCTATGCAGTGCTAAGGATGGACCAGGGCATTGTGCATGCCGGGCAAGCACTCTGCCAACTAAGCTATATCCTGACATCATCATTTTTTTCTTTTTAATAATTTATTTATTTGTATTATGTATTTTGTTTGCATGCATGTCTGTAGGATGTTGTCAAGTCCCTGGAACAGGAGTTACAGACAGTTATGAGCTGTCATGTGGATGCTGGGACTTGAAGCTGGGTCCTCTGGAAAAGCAGCCAGTACTCCTAACTGCTGAGTCATCTCTCCAGCTGTCATCAACATTATATTTTAATTTTGTTTTTTCAAGACAGGGTTTCTCTGTGAAATAGTCCTGGCTGTCCTGGAACTAGCTCTTTAGACCAGGCTGGTCTCCAACTCACAGAGATTCTCCTGTCTCTGCTTCCTGAATGCTAGGACTAAAGGTGAGCACCACCACTGCCTGGCTTTTTAAAAACAAATTTCAGCAGGGGTTCCAGCAGGGCCTGTATTCTCTCCGCTGCCTCTTCTCCTGTATGCCTCCTCATTCTCTTAAGTTAACCAAGATGTATAGTTGTAAACAACTGACCAATTTCTAGAGTTCCAAAGAATCTCATTTTGACTACTAAAAGGTTGTTGTTGCTTTACTGTGTGTGTAATTTTGTGTGTGCGGGGGTAGCACACATGCTACAGCTCACATGCTATAGTTCACATGCTACAGCACACATGATATAGCTCACACACTACAGCACACATGCTATAGCACATACACTACAGCAAACAAGCTCTAGCACATATGGGGGACCAGAGGACAACTTACTTAAGTCAGTTTTCTCCTTCTACCACATATGTGATTTAGGTGGTCACGCTTAGCAGCAAGTGCTTTACCTGCTGAGTCATCTTACTGGCCAGTTTTGACAATTTTGCTAGTGTTATGTTGCTTTCCATTTGGGAAGCGCTTTCCCCTACTGTCTTTGTCTTTAAATATTTATTCAATTGTATTTTACATAACGTAATTTTGGGACTTTAGTTGTTTGAGACAAGGTTTTCAAGGTTTGAGACAAGGCTATCTCTGAAATACTGATCCTTCTGCTGGGATTACAGATGTGTGCTGCTGCACCCATAATTCCATTTTGCTGTGTTAAGAGGGCTGGAGACATAGCTCGGTAGCATATGTTTAGCTCATGAAGCATTGTACTTGAATCCCAGGACCACATATACCATGCTTGGCAGTGCATGTCTGTAATCCAGCCATTTGGAAGGAAGAAGCACTGGAATGAGAAGTTCAGAGTCATCCTTTGCTACATACTGAGTCCAGTATGTAGTATGAGTACAGAGCCAGTCTAGGTTATAAGAGACCCTATCTCAAAAAGAAGAAGGGCAGGAAGAATAAAAAGAGGGCTGGAGAGATGACTCAGCAGTTAAGAGCACTTGTTGCTCTTGCAGAGGACTGGGGTTTGGTTCCCAGAACCCATTTAAGCAGCTCACAACTGCCTGTAACTCCAGCTTTAGAGAATCCAACACACTCTTCTGGTCTCTGAGGGCACAGCACAAACATACATTGCACAGACATACAAGCAGGCAAAATATCCATACATATAAAATCATTTTTCTTTCTTTTTCCTTTTTCCAGTAGAATGGTGGTGTTTAATTACTGGCCCACAAAGTTCCTAAAGATTCAACCAATGGCTTTCAACAGGCCCCTCCTGGATGTCCCATATGATTCAGGTGAACTCTGCAAACCTTTCAGGTACCCATGAGGCACCATATGTCCATAGCTGAGACTCATCCTGTACTAAACAGACTTCATCCCTTCAGTGTGCACGTCTCCACCAGCTCTAGCTGGCAGGACACTCAGTGCCAGTCGGGTCTTCTGAATGATGGCTTGGCATGGAGGAAGACTTGGAGAGGGCTGCAGACAAGTGCAAACAGTTTCCGAAACACTGAACTATTATTGATTCTGATCTCAGGGAATCTCATCCTAAATTATGCTAAAAGCTGGCTTTTTTTTTTTTTTTTTTTTTTTTTTTCTGACTCTGAGGAGAAATCTCGCCAATCCAACAGGTCTTTGTTTGTCTTGTAAAATCTCTAACTAGAAGTCTTTAAGGCAAGTACTGGGCAAAGGTAGGAACAGTGAGGTGGGGGCGGGGGTAAAGGTTTCCATTAGGCAGCCTTTGAGGAATGTGTACCTTAACCCATGTAAGGGAAAAAACAGTTGTGTTTGTGTGTGTTTCAACTTTGGGGCTTACTCAAATAATAACAAAACCTGCTTTGTGATCATATAATGACACGCTGTTGGGGTGCATCTTAATTATGATTAATTACTAGGAGGATTATGAGGCAGGGCTTTTCCTGGGCCAGTTCTGCTCCTCACAGAGTCTCTTGTCAGGTTGTAGCATGAATCCCCAGCTTCCTTGAATGCAGCGGGGCTGAGCTTCCTGATGGAACTCTAAGCACAACAGGGCAATTGTGCCTCCTCTCTAGACCTTTGCCTTCCTTCCCTTTCCCACAGAAAGACCAGCAGAAAGTGGCAGCTGAGCTAGGAGCGTCAAATACCGGCTGCTTGTTCCCTCAGGTGTTCAGTGTTGCTTGCCTCAATCATCAACAAACACTCAGCAGACATCCTGTGCCCTGTGTTGAGTTAGCACCTCGGATAGCTGGTATTTACAGGGAGTTTGGAGAATGGGGGAAGCTATCTTTGTGAGTTGCTCAAGTCCTCTCGGATAAGATGCAAACAGTTCCTCTCATTCACAAATTGAACCATCGGAGTCAGAAAAGGTGGTCTCTCCACCCCCTCAGTGGCCAACAAGCTGTGTTACTCGAAGTACTTTCTCCATTCATTTTGTGTTTGTGTACTTGAATTCATGTATTCGTGTGCCTATTTCTCTCTCTCTCTCTCTCTCTCTCTCTCTCTCTCTGTATATGGAGGGTAGAAGATAACTTTGGGTGTCATTCCGTAGGGTCTCTTCTTGGCCTGGAACTTGTCTAGCAGGCTCGTTAGGCTTGTCAGCAAACCCCAAGGATGCATCTTGTTCTGCCTCCCCAGTAAGCATGCTTCACCAAAATGTGATTTTCTTTATGTGGGGTCCTGAGGATCGAACTCAGGACCTCATGCTAGCAAGGCAAGTAATCTCTTTAGCCATCTTCTTCCCCACCTGGAAGCTGCAGCCCCCTCACACCCAGCACCAACACCTAGCACAGTTCCTTTAGGAGATACCTACTTCAGGCTAAGAGAGGCTACTGTCCTCAAGGGGCTTACAGTCACAGGAGCAATAAAACATGGCATTTGATTCAGGTCTCTGTGTGTGTGTGTGTGTGCTTACATGTGTGATTGGTGAGAAACCCTCATCGATGAAGTCATATTCCAGGTGTGTCTTGACGAATGAAAGGAAGAGCATCTGCCAGGTGAACAAGAGGGGACAGGAAGGGCTGGCTGTCTTAGCAGAGGGGCCAGCTTGAGCTTTCTAGCTACGTCAGTGGGTAATGAAGTCAGAAACAGTCTGTTGTTTAGTTGAAATTTTAAAAAGTTCAAAGCTCCCTAAATCTGATAGGATGTGAGAGTCAACCTAAGGTGAAGAGGATAGGAAAGTTCTGATTAGTAAAAATGAAGAAGGCAAAATTGGTCTATGTTTTGACTGATAAGATACCGAGAACTGTGTTGATAAAAACAAGTAAAGAATTAAAAAGAAAGAGAGGAAAAAGTCCCAGATTGAATTATAATAATTTTTATGGCCTTTATATAGTCTTATAATTTAAATTTTAAAGTAATTGTCGGTGTTACCTGCTGCCCACGCCGCATTCCTCCGTCTGCAGGGGGCGCAGCGATCTCTACCTCGTCTACTCCAGCTGAAGGGGCGGAGCCTCCAGAGCCAGTATGGATTGACGATTGGCTGATCCGGGTGTCGATCACGACGTCCCGCCTCCGCCTACGTCACATGACGCAGCCCATCATGGCGGCGGGAGCGCGGCAGCTTGGGCCCGCCGCTCCGCAGGGTGGCTGCTGTTGCTGCTGTTGAGGGGCGGCGGCGGCGGCGCACACGGGCGGGAAGGATGATGATGATTCTACGGCCAGAGCGGCGGATGCAGATCGGGAACGAGGTTGACGTTTGGTCCAAGAGACGTGTGTCCCGAAGCAGCCGGCGCTGGTGTCGCTGAGGCAGCGCGGAGGACTGACTGACTGAAGGCGGCGACCCGAGAGCCGGCCCCGGGGGACCGCGCGGTGGACGAGATGCCGGGGCCGCCGGCTTCCTCGCCGCCGTCGGTGCTGCTGCTGCTGCTCCTCTTGACCGTCGGCAGTTCCCGGGCCGCGCCACTTCCGCAAACAGGTGCCGGTGAGCGGGGCCAGGGGGCTGCGGGGCCGCTGCGTCTTGCGGGGCGGTGGCGAGGACGGCGGGCCTGCGGGGTTTGACCGCCTAAGCGATGGATCGGAGGCCTGCCGAGGGCAGGAGGCCGCGGGAAACGAGCGATCCTAGGGAGATTTCTTGCCGCAGGGGCGTGGGATGGGGGGCGGGGGCGCGGCGACGCGGTGGGGGTTGGGGAAGACCGCGAGGAGAGGTGGCAGCGACGGATTCCCCCACATCCCTGGGGGACTCTTTACCCCCGCACTCTAAACTTGTTGCCCAAAGGTCCCTCAAGCTTCTGTCCTCGGCACTCCTTCCTTTTTCCCAGATGTCACCTGCCTGTTGTGGCTTTTCTCACGTCTTATAATAAGAACCCTTTCTTGTCATTCCTTAAATGAAACCAGTGATTCGGGGAAGCTGTGCGGAGTTTCCTTGGCTCCCCGAAACTTGTTCTAAAGTTGTAAATTGATTTTAGATGCTGTGGTTATTTGTTTATTTATTTTTTATCATTATTCGGAGTGAATTTCGGAATGAGAAGGGAGAGACGATACATATTTTTGTTTTAGGAAGACAAAGATTGGAGTAGCAGCTTTTGAGTAACTATTGGCAAATTGGCCTGAGGGAAATTGAAATGTCTGTTTTAGTGGCATCAGTGAGCGATTCTCTTTTCCAGCTCTTAGCTCTTACATATTTCCTGCATATAGTTTTGATTTGGAGTTAAATTTAAAAAAAAAAAAACTTAGCCAAAGAAATCATCCCAGAAATTTTAAGGAAAAAAAAAAATCTAGACTAAAGTCCCACCATTACAGCGTATCTTTTCAATGAAGAGGGAGGTATTGCATTTTCAAAAAACTTTAGAAGTTGGAACAACTGTAAGGACAATTTAGTCCAATTTCTTCATCTTTTGCTTTGAGGATAGTGGAATCAAAAGAGATACTCAGGGTGACACAGCCAAGTTGTAGTTGGGACCAAGCCCCCGTCTTAGATTGACCTTGTTGTATGATCTCCCCTCCCCATCCTCCAGTTCAATTTAGGTTTTGTAGCTGTCTGGAATACATCTGAGGTCCAGGATTATTTTGGAATAATATTGAGTGCAGAGCTACCTTCAAGTGTTTCATACAAATCTACAGTGAAAAAGATGTCATGGTTTCCAGAACTACACCAGGTTTTATGCCGTTGAGTGTCCTTCAATTGAGTATTAAGTGATGTCATTATATTATATAGTGTAGCACTGTGTTTCTGCTGTTGTCTTAGAACCAAATCTTCTTGATGACTTCTGTGTTCGGATTTAATGGATAAGATAACTGAATGCCACCAGAAGGAGATGACAGCCAGCTGGGATGGGTATTGCAGAAAATACCAGGAAAGCTGGGAAAGATTATATGGCAAGGTTGCTATGTAAAGATACTGACACTTAAATAGGAAATTAACAATAGAGTAGGATACCGGATAGAGTGTGTGTCAAGGGGATTCTAGAAACTTCCAGAAGACTTTGTGCCTTTCAATATTTTTATGCATTTTGAAAAATAGATTTTATATATGTGTGTATGAAGTGTATCTGCTTGTCTTCTATGCCTTTTATTCTATTCTTATTTCATTTTATACAGACTGGAATTTTAGAGTGCTGAGTTTTGTTGAGGTCTCATAAAACAAAGCAACCAGAAAAAAAAAAAAATGAACTCATGAATAGAAATAATCAGATTTTAACATATATGAAGCCTGGGTGATTTGTATAAAGTTTTGCAGATGTTTTCTTTTATATTTTGATCCTTGGAGGTCAGCTGTGTGGCTTAAATGTGTGTGGCAAGGAATTAGCAGGTATCTGAAGCTAAACTGTGTGGAAATGATATATTATCAAATTTTAGACATAGATTTGTGGAAAATTCCTGCATCCAAATAGCTTATTGATATTGCAACTGGGATAGTGGTTGTGATTTTATTCCTCCCTCCCTTCTTCCTTCCATCCCTTATTCCCTGTCTCTGTCCCTCCCTCCCTCCTTTCCTCCCTCCCTTTCCCTGTTCTAGGGATTGAACCCAGGGTCTCACACATGCGGAACACTCCATCAAGAGATAGATTCTTTGATCAAGTAAATTAACTTTTGGATTAATCCTATTTAATGAGCTCACTAGTTACAAAAGAAGGCTCTGTTTTGAACATACATGGCAGATAAAAGAGCAACTATGCCTTGAAAACATAACTGGGGCGTCTAATAATCTAGGAACCTGTACAAGATAGGGCTATCCTTCCCCAGTAAGGGTAGGCCCATTGCATAGACCCCTTTGCCTTCTTGCTCTTATTCTTTAGAAAGATCAGACTGTTTAATAGTGCCTTGGAGAAAGCTCAGTTCTCAGAAGTAGGTTGGGTGTATATGCTAGGAACTACACTTGAAGACAGGTATTGTGATGCATAGGTGTAATCCAAGCACACAGGAGGCAGAGGCAGGAGGATCAATGCAAGGATCAGGGCCACCTACATAGTTAGGTTACACAGTGAGGTCAAGGCCAGTCAAGGCTACCTATTGAGAGGTTTGTCTCAAAGAGACAAAACAGCAACAACAATAAACACGTGATGTTTTATCCTTTGGTTGACTATTTATTTGCTTGGGAAACAGGGGAACTGTGACTTAAAATTCAGCTTTTGTTTTTAAAATTTTTATTTATGTGTGGGGGCATTTGCCTACACTAATGTCTGTGCATCACGTGGGTGCTTGGTGCTTGAGAAGGCCAAAAGAGGGAGGGTGTCAGATCCTCTGGAGCCTTGTGGGTGCTAGGAATCCAACCCAGGTCCTCTGGAAGAACATCCTATGTTCCTAAATGCTGAACATTCTCTCCATCTCATCTCCAGCCCTTTATTTCTTGAATTAACTTTTTAGGTTAGTATAAAAAGTAATAGACTTCATTAGGACATCTTCTTAAATATATAAACTTCAAAAATTGAAATAATTTATGAAAGATGTCTTTGTTATTCAGAGTCATTCTCAGGATTGGAAGTTGAAAGGTGTTTACTCATTGACTCATAGTAAAACTATGTAAATAGTTGCCTGGTGCATGGAAGTTTTCCTTTTATTTTGTTTTGTTGTTGTTTTGGGTTTTTTGAGGCAGAGTCTTGCTGGGTAGCAAAGGTTGTCCACCAAATCTGGATGGATCCGCCTACCTTAACTTCTGGAGTGCAGATGATGGGTGCACCAGCCACTGTGCTTGGTGGATCAGAAGGCATGTTGAATTTTATTGTGGGCCACTCTGTGTTTGAAGGATGCCCTTTTATTTATCTCCTGTCTGAGTCCCTTTTCCTGAAGATCCCTATTCTGCTGTATGAGCCCTGTTATGTAAACTGAGAACTTGCTGGGCCTCACTGGGAAGCTTAGGGGAAGGGAGAAAATACAATTTTCACAAATCTGCTACGTGACCAAATATAGCTCAGTTCTTTTCTGTATGGCTATCATATCATTTTTCGGAAACGTGTGTGTACTTGTAGGAGCCTGTGGAGTTACAGCATAAATCTGGGTGGGAAGAAAAGAAAGATCCTATAGTGGTGTATGTGAATGATTCCTCCGAACGATGATGCCTTGTTCACATTAGGGTAGTGGTTAGACAGGGAGACCCACTTCTATTGTTCTGTGGCATATTAGGTCACAGAGCATAGAGGAAGCTTTTTGCAGGTCTAGATAAAGGCCATCACGGAAGCCGGTGGGACTTAGCTACTGATTAAATGTGGCTTCTGAATGTGGCGCTCTCAGTTTAGATGAAGCACACAGACTTGTATCCCGAACAAGATTCCTACCATCAAGTAATTGCTTTTCAAAGTTTGAATCTTTGTGATTAATTTTCACAGCTTCTGAGAAATAAATATTTTTCAATAGGCTTCTCAATAGGCTTCAATACTTTGGACTTACAAATGGATTTAGGTTAGGATTGCTCTAATTGCTTTCACTTGGTGACACTTTTGTGCCACTAAATACGCTTTTTTGCACTATAATCAGAAGTCTGTCCAGTTTTGTAGCTGCTCAGCAATGAGGTTACCAAATCCTTACAGCTTGCTGTTATCAGTGTGCTGACCATTCATTTTCTTGAAATTTGGAGAGTCCTTGGGCCCTCTCTGTCCCCTGTGGGCTGTGTCACTTTGATAACAGCTGTACATATAATAATAATTTTAAAAAGGGCATTGTCATGTGAAAAGGGAATATCCAGGTTCTGAAACAGTTAAAATAAATAAGTCTTCAAAAGGGTCTTTGTGACTAAGTGGCAGCAGTGGTGGTTGTGGTGGCATGCGCACCTTTAATCCTAGCACTGAGAAGCAGCAGCAAATAGATCTCTGAGTTCGAGGCCAGCCTGGTCTATAGAGTCCTGGGACAGCCAGGGCTACAGAGAGAGACTGTCTTGAGGAAACTGTCCCCCCCCCCCAAAAAAAAAGTTTTTGTGGATGGACATAGACAAAAAGAATTGAACTTTTCAGTCCAGTTGAGAGTAAAATTCATGAAACAATTGTAGAGGGAACATGATGTCCTAGACAGAAGCTGGGCTTTGAGTTAGACCTGGGTATGAGGCCTTCCTTCCTCTTCTCTTTCACTAGCTTTAAAGTCATGGGTCAGGCTAGGAGCCCAAGGCAGGAAGATCCTAAATTCAAGACCAGCCTATACAACTTAAGAATCAGTCTCTAAATTGGAAAAGTAAAATAAGGGCAGGGGGTCTGATATGATGCACACACATTTAACCTCAGCATTCAGAGGTATATGCAGGCCTGATCTCTGTGAGTTCAAGGTCACCCTCGGTTACACACTAGCTGGGGCTACATAGTGAAGCCCTGTCTTAAAAAAGGAAGGGACTGGGTGGGGTTAGGGATAGAGTTTAGTGGCATTTGCCCAAGCATGCAGGAGACTTTAGGTTCAATCTTTAGTACTGTAAAGGCAAAAGGAAAGAAAGAAATCTTGGGACAGTTATCTGCCCTCTTTTGGCTTCCAAGAACTCAGTACTTTAAGCAAACAAACAACAGA